GCTGAGGAGCGGGGAGGGTTAGCTGAGGACTTAGCTTTCCGGCCACGGAAGAGGAGAAGGCGAGGGAGCGGTGGTAGGAGGGGCCCTGCAGGCCGCTGAGCCCTGCCTCGGTGGTGCTGCGGCTCGTGCAGAAGGAGGAATGAGTCAGGAAATGTGCTGGGACAACTGGCTGCACACAGTGGGGACGACGAGATCCCTACATCACAACCTACACAAACATTAATTCCAAGCAGATTATATACTAAATTTGAAAAGCAAAATTTTAAAACTTTGGGGGAAAAAATCTTTGGAAAAGATTAGTAAATGACATTAAAACGTAGCCTGTACATCACACGACATCATTAGAAAAGCAAAAGGACAAGCACACTGGGGCCCCCGCAGAGTACACAACTGAGGACCCTGAGCCGGGAGCTCCAGGACCTCCACCAGGAGGGGGCAGAAAGCAGAGCACCCCACGGGAGACACACACGGATCTTTGAGGATACAGAGATCCTCAACCTGATTAGTACAGAAATGTAAATTGAAACTTTTGTACCCATCAGACTGTCAAAAATTAAACTCTGACAACATTAAATGTTAAGAAGTGGGCAGAGGGGAGCTCAGTTACTGAGCTTTGGACAGCAATCCGACATCCAGTAAAACTGAAATGTACGTTAAGTTTCAACCCGGAAGTTCTCGCACACTTGTGCTCAAGATGTGCCCAATGATGCTTAAAGCAGTGCTGCACCTAAGAGCAAAAACCTGGAAACCACCAAAATGTCCAGCAGTGGCTGATGGAGAAACTGGAGGCCACTCAGGCCACAGCCTGAGCTACACATAACCCAAAGACTCACAAACAATGCTGAATTTTAAAAGTGACGAATACATCTGTGTACCATTTATAATTCTTAAAAATGCAAAATAATACTATGTATTTAGGGATACATAGCTCCACGGTAACTAACATTTTTAAAAAACACATAAGCAGCAGCAGCAGCAATCATCTCTGTTGAGGGTGGGGTGTGCGTTTAGGGCAGGGGACAGAGAGAGATGCAAGTGTGGTGGCAATGTTTTATTTCTCATGTTGCACGGCAGGTCCAGGGATATACATTTACACTTAACTTTAGATGATGAAATAACTCAACTTTTAAATGCACATGACAAACATGTAGGTTATGGCATCAAGACCCCAGGTGTGTGAAAAGGCAGATGAAAGAACACACGTCTGAGCTTCCTGGGAAGCCCCTCTAGGTGTGAAGCAAAGACCCTGACAGCCAAGCACAGAACAGCACGGTCACTTTAATCTCTTAGTCAGTAGCCTAACACCTGCCGGATCTCAAACTGGATACTCATCAGAACCACTGAGGGTCGCAGGGGGTGGAAGGCCTCTTACAACTGCCCTTGCCCAGGCCCCACGGACTTCCTAAACCGGAAGTGGAGAACGAGGCAGGCTCACTTGCGTACTCCAGGTGACTCTAATACACAGTCAAGGGTGAGAGCCACACAGTGCAGGTTGCCAATTTGCCTCATAATTCGGGAATTTGAGGAAGGCCGAGTGTGGTGCTGATGAGGTGGCTGTAGCAGCCATGGAGTGTTCCAGACCCCAGGCCTCAGCTGTTCATATCACTGTGGACACAGCACTCCCCCCAGAGGGAGATGGTCAGTGAGGAGGGAGCCACCAGCCCTAGCGGATTTCCGGCGTCCACGTGGGTAAGTGTTGTAGAGTGAAGTGAGTTAACACGTGTCAACTGCTCAGAACCACACTTGGCACACGGTAAGCACTCAATGTTAGCCACTTTTCAAGTAAAGAAACTGTTTTGGGCAAGTACTCAGTAAAATATTTCAATAAAAAGGATCATGTTTACTCTCACAGCTTCATGAATAGGCTCCCAGACCCGTGTGAAGAAAACCCAGCTCAGATGTCTCCGTCACTGTGAGCTTGTGAACCACCTAACCTGTGGAAGGAGTCCCACATATGCACAGGGAACACCGCGAGGGACAAGAGACGTGGAATAGTGGATCCATGAAGAGCTCTGGAGAGAGACTGAAAGACTGAGGGGAAAATAAATTCTTATTCTTCACTTTATCTGCTTATATACTACCTATTTTTCACAATGAGCATCTAATTGATAATTACAAAAAGCCTGTTGCAACAGGAAGATAGGGTTTGCATTTGCTTTTAAGATGGAAACTCAAATGTTATTTAATTATGGGTGGGATGACGCTGAAGGTGGCTCTGGACTGGATGGGGAAACACTGTTCCAGGTGGGGTCAAGGGTCGGGAGGGGAGGACTGGATGGCAGCAGCAGACCACGGCCTGGGTGGAGAGAACCGTGGAAGGCGCCAGATGGCACTTTCCTTTCAGCTGCTGGCTTTCCTCCACCCGCTGTACCCTCTTTGTCCCCTCGAGGCATCCCAAAGGGAATACTGCTACTGACCCCAACCTGTCCTGCACCCACCAATCCCTTCCAGATCATCCCAGAGCCCCCTTAGCCAGAGGGCCCTAGAGTTCCCTTGGGCTGAGGTCACACCCTCGGTGTGGTACCCCAAATCCTCCCCCTGCCAGACCCTTTCACCCAGAGACCCAGAGCACATGGGAGATGGCACAGGGTCCTGTCCCCATGACCCCACTGTGGTGTGACACTAAGCGAGTCCTGCTTGACCTCTGAGAGCCATGATTCCCCACCCAGGAAACCGGGAGCCCAGCACCCGCCTCCTGGGCTGTGCTGCAGGCCAGAGGGGAGGTGGCTGCCAGCTGGAAAGCACTGGCTAGCTGGGAGTTATCTGGAAAAAAAGAAAAGCGAGACTCTCAGGACAGTTACCCAGCTGATGTGGGTTATTTCACTTTATTTAGAAAACGGCCACACTCTGAGCCCCTCCAAACTGCTCCTCCAGCCTCAGTCGAGGGTCTGCCTCATGAAGAAGCTCAGAGGGTGAACAGGAAGGCCCAGGTTCCCCAATCGGCCTCCTCTTCTGCCACACACACAGGACAGAATCACTGCTCCCGTCCTCAGGCGCCCGCCCAGTACAGTGGGGGCCTGGGCCCAGCTCCAGGCACAGAATCTCTGCTCCTGAGATGCTGGCAACAGGCCAGGGCCTCTGTCCCTAGCTGTGGGGTGCCAAACCCTTATTCCCCAGCCCTGCAGCCCGTTCCTGCTGGGCAAAAAGCAAATGTAGGAAAATACTTTAATTATATCTTTGAAACGGTTAAGAAATAAGGTTGTCTTTGTTTTTCTTTTACAATCCCAGTAAAAAAAAGTTCACATTAGTGCCGGGCCCAAGGCCAGGCCTTTCTCCAAGCCAAGCCGAGCGCCAGCCGCTCAGTAGAAACGCTTGTTCCTCTCCTGCCGCTTCTGAAACACCACGGCCCCGACCACGGCGCACACGATGATGCCCAGGAGCGCACACAGCAGCAGCAGGAACACCCGCCACCCTGTCAGGGGCCCACTGCGGAAGTTCCCCGTCGGGTCATCCACGTTGTCTGAGGGAGGACAAAGGGAGGAGTGAAGTGGCAAGCTGAGAGGATGGGCAGGCCCCCAGGAAACAGGGCAGTCCAACAGGACCCAGCAGGGCCCACACCCCTCCACAGGTTGAAGCTGTGTCCTCTCACAGCTGCACCAGTGAGGGGCAGGAGAGTGGACAGAGGGACATTCCAACTGGGACCGAGGTTCCCAGGGACTGAGGCCCCGAGTGCCTTCTGCTACAAGAAGCTGGTGAAAACCAGATACCTGGGCTCCCTCGCAGAGCCTGAGTCTGCCTGGGGCGGGCCCGGGATCTGCTCTCACAAGCCCCCCCCACCCCGCGCAGTGGTCCGAGGTCCCCATCTGGAGAAACACAGCCCTGGCCACAGGGTGCCCTGACTCACACTTGGATGTATTCGGTGGCTCCTAGGGGGTCTTCCAGGCTCCCAGCTCCCCTCCTCCACCCCATCCATCTGTTCTGGCCACACCACTCCTCCGCCCACTAAAACCATTGATGACTGCTGGGCACCAGCCCCTGACACACAGGGATCTCCTGGAATCCTGACCACCCTAGGATGTGGATCTCATGATCTCCCTTTCAGAGGAAGCTGAGAGCAGAAACTGACTTTCTCAAGTTTACCAGCCTGTGGTGGAGGGGCTAGGGTCTAGACTCAGGTCCTCTTGCCTTACACGGCCTACACTCTGCTCCTGCCTTTCTCCTCCCTCCCCAGCTATGGCCCCCAGCTCTGCATTATGGGGTCCATTCAGGCCTCCTCCCAGCCAGACCTCAGCCCCCAGGCTTCCCTCTCAGCTTGCTGGAAGGCCAGCCACAAGCCCACCTACAACCTCTGTTCCCACACAACCTGACCCAGGCAGGCCTGCTGACCCGGTCTCATCACTGGCCTCTCTCCACCTCTGCCTTCTTCTCCGCCTCAGTCACTAGACAGAACCCCGGGGCAGTGCCCAGCCACAGCTAGGCAGTGAGTGAAAGCTTTGGAACTGTTTGCTACAGAAACAAATGGATCAATGAGTCTGAAAACAAGTTAATCTCTGCCTTGCTAGCCACATGGGGTCGCTGGAGGCAGGTCAGAGCAGATGATGTCTCTGAAAGCCCTCGGCAGCCAGAAACCCTGCAACTAAAGGTTGCAAAACAGTGGTGTATGGGAGGATTTATTTGCCCCCTAAAATGTTTGAAAGCAAGTTGTATCTTAAAACAGTGAGATGTCAGGGGCCGGCCAGGTAGCATAGCAGTTAAGTGCATGCGCTCTGCTTTGGTGGCCCGGGGTTCGCAGGTTCGGATCCCAGGCAAGCACCGATGCACCGCTTGTCAAGCCATGCTGTGGAGGCGTCCCATATAAAGTAGAGGAAGGTGGGCATGGATGTTAGCCCATGGCCAGTCTTCCTCAGCCAAAAAAGAGGAGGATTGACATCAGATGTTAGCTCAGAGCTAGTCTTCCTCACAAAAAAACAAAACAAAAAAAAACCCCACAACTTAAAAAAAAAAAAAAAAGTGAGATGTCAAATAAAATGCTCGGTTCCACTCTGGCTCACACTCTGCACGGTGGCCTTGGGCTGGGCTGAGAGGCCCCTCAGCGGCCTCGCCCCGGCAGAGCCTGTGCTCCATCACCTGCCGGGCCCACAGGCACGACTTCAGGGTTCTTAGGGTGGACTTCTCCACACACAGGGACTTCACTTCTCCAACCAGAACCCTCACTGTTAGGGTGGAGTGGTGGCTAATTAGTGCCACAGTAAGAGCCCAGGCTTTGGCGTTTTGCAAAAACTCACATTTGAATCCTGCCTTTACCTCATTCTAGCTTAGGAAACCTGGGGGATGGGTTCCCCTGGCCAGTGGCAGGACCTACCTCCCAGGCTGTATGCTGAGGTCACGCACATGTGGGATCAGTGTGCTCCTCACACCATCTACACCAACAAACTGGCCCCTTTGGCTTTCCTGGCCATTATCCCAGCACCAAGCACAGGAGGAAGCAGATGTCAGATGCTCACACATCTGCTCATTAGCGCTGACTGCTCATCCAAGAACCACAGCCACCACCACAATTGGACCAGGCAAGGGCAGATGGGCCACAGGCACTAACCCAAACTGGCCTCAGCCCTAGCCCCATTCCAAGCCACCCAGGCCGGGAGGGGCCGAGCACACGTACCTTTGGGTGACTTGAGGAAATTGACGCTGGGCTCGATCTTGGTCCAGTCAATGTTCTCCTCATCAGGCGTATGCTCTACCATCAGCTGGAAAAGCTTCATGGAGATGATGTCATGATTATCTGTAGGACAGAGAGTTAACTTATAAGGGGGCTGGAGCCTGCCTTGGGGCACGTGACGCATGCCCCTCCCCAGCCACATAAAGTGACCAGGTCCCCCGGAGAGAACCCTGCTCCTGCCCACTGCCAGGTCTGTTTTCTTCCCAGTGACCTCCAGCTGCCCCCAGCAGGCAGTAATTCAGGGGCTGGAATACCTCCAGAACTCAGCAATAAGAAACCTGGGAGGAGGCAGAGTGGACAGAAAAAGGCATGGGTTTTACAGTCAAAATCATCCGGGTCTAAATCCAGGGTCAGCTTTCTTGTTTGTAAATGGGGGTGATAATCTCCATGTCGCATGGGAGTGGTGGCAGGTCAATGAGAAGGTACAAATGATGCAAAAGACATACTGCCTGGCAGCATGTACTTGAAAACAGAGCCAGAAAGGGACCTGCGCATTGTCCTATGGCTGGTTGAGAAGCCTGATCCCCCTAATGACAGGCAGCAGCCAGACGCTCCTGACACAAAGACCCAAGTACAGGATGCTGATCAACAACTCGGCGACTGGCTGAGGGCTCGGCCCCCATACATGGTCAGTGACTACCTGAGGAGACTTGGGAAAGGCCCAGTCTAACCAGTACGGGCAGGAGGGAACCTCGGCTTGTCACTAATTGATCATCCATTTTTAAGATGGGGAGGTCAAGGCTCAGAGCCAAGACAAGGGTCCCAGTCAGCCTGACTCCAGCTATAGGCTCAGCTGGAATCTAAGGAAAGGCCTGGAATCGGGAGAGCCTAAAGAGCAAGGACCTGGCAGCCAGGTCAGGCAGAGGCAAGCGGTACATGACAGCCCAGCAGGCACAGGCCCTGGAAGCCCAAGGACCAGCAACAACTCTGGAGTCAGACTGCAGTTTCCATCTGAGCTCTGTCACTTCTGGGGTGTGTGATTTGGGAAAATGCCTTCAACTCTCAAATTCCCAACAGTCTCACTGGTGTACAAGGGAAAAGAGACTGGTGCCACCTAAGAACATATCACGTGACTGCCCGTGAGAACCCTGGTGCAGAGCTGGCATTCACAACACTCCGATTAATGGTCAGACACTACAATGTGCCCGGACCTCTCTATCACTCTTCACTGGGCCTCTCCAAACAGCTTAGAGAGCAATCCACGTGCCCCAGATTTGACTTTGTTCCCAGAACCCTCTCATAAGACAGAGATTCTGTCCGATGAAATTCAAGGTAACGGAGAAGGGTTATGGTGGATCCATGGATGAAACAAGATTGGCAATGAGCTGATGACTGATGACCACACAATCATTGTCTGAAGCTGGGTAACGGGAATGAGGGGGCTTACTGGACCAGTCTCCCCTCTTTTGGGTATAGAATTGAAATTACCAGATTAAAAACTTTAAAATAAAACCCCAAAACAATGAACACTCTGGGGACCAAGTAGACTCAGAAGACACTTCCATGGTGAGGAAGAAGCTCCCAGATAGTGACAGGATTATAGGCCCTGGAAAGGTCTATCCTGAGGATAGACAAGCCCTCTGTCGGTCCTCCATGTCGCTTCCCAATTCTGGTGGGGAGGAGCTGGCCTTGGGCCTGGGGCCTTCTGAGGGCCCTGAGAAGATGAATGAGGAGCATGGCCAAGGGCCACCCTCAAGTGCCACCCAGGCCTGGTGGCCCAGTGAGGCCTGCACAGGCTGGTGGCACCCCAATGCTTACAGAGTGCTCACAGTGGGCCAAATAAGACAGAGCCCTGACATATGGAGCGACAACTCAGTGAGGAGGACACAGACAATGAAATAAATTATATGGTAGATTCCAAGATGGTTAAGTGCTACGAAGAAAAATAAAGCCGAGAAAGGTGAGGGAGAGTGTGCAGCAGACTGGGACGGGGGCACGGAGGGGGTGCTGTGTGCAATTCTGAATAAGGGAAGGGCCTACTAAGGAAGTGACATCTGAGCAAGACTTGAAGGAGATGACAGGACTTGAGGAGATGCAAGCACAAAGGCCCGAGGCAGGAGGGCACTGGTGTGTCTGAACAGCTGGAGGCAATGTCAATGAGGAGCAGGGAGCAATGTGTCAGAGGCGATGGGGCGGGGAGGTGCCAGCACACAGGGCCTGGCAGACCACAGCCAGGACAGACAGTGGCCTTGACTCCAAGTGAGACAAGAGCCATGGCAGAGCTCCGAGTGGAGGAGCGATGAAACCTCACGAGAGTTTTAACTGGATGGCTCTGGTTGCTGTGCTAGGAGAGACTGCTGGGGGCTGGTGTGGAAGGGGGTACCATTTGGGAGATTCCTGCGGTCATCCGAGAGACAGGACGGTGGCCTGCACCTGCCAGGTAGTGAAGGAGGGACAAGAAGTGGTCTGCTGCACTGTGAAGACAAAGCCAGCAAGACTCGCCAATGATAAGAGGTGGCATGTGAGAGAAACAGTACGGAATGACACCAAGGGTTTTTGGCCTGAGCAGCAAGGACAGAGGTGCCATTTATGTCTTTGTGGCAAGATGTGGTCCTCAGTTGTGAAAATGTGAAGGCTGAGAGGCCTGTCAGTGACATAGGTCTGGAGATGGAAATTTGGGAGTCTACAGTGTCCAGATTCAAAGCCTCCTACCTCCTAAAGAGAAGGGAAGATTGCCGAGGGATCGCTCACGGCTCACGGACTAAGCTCTGGGCGTGCCGACATTTACAGACAATGGGAAGAGGAGGAAGAAACCCAGGCGAGCATAGAACCAAATGAGGGAATTTCCAGAAGAAAGTGATCAACTGTGTCACACGCTCCCGACAGACCAGGGAAGGTCACGACTGAGACTCAGCGCCTTGCTCAGCCCACTCACTCACCAGACAGGTCGCCGGTGCCAGCCGAGGCTCCGAAGTAGTAGCCAGTGGGCAGGCGCACTCCAGTGATATCGATGCAATTCTTCCACTCATTCTTGTCCTCCAAGTCAGTCATCACCTGCGGCCAGCCAGCAGGTCAAGCACATCCCGGGGGCAGCCTGCCCGCCTTCCTGAGCCCCCGCAGCACCAGCGCAGGCAGAGCTGCCTCCAACCCCGCTCACCGTCAGACGGCCCCGGGAGTAGCGCACAGCCAGGAAGGTGTCGTGCTCGCGGTTGCGGAAGTCGGCTGTGCAGCCTGCCAGCTCGGTCCAGCGGCCATCCTTGCTATGGTCGTAGGACAGGGAGCCATTGTTCACCATCACCGAGATGTACGGGAACACGCGCTGAGACCAAGACACCGGTTACTCCATGGCCAGCCCTGCCTGCAGGAGGCAGCAGGGGCACGCGCCACCCCAATCCCTGGAGGTTCTCTCTGTGCAGGGACCAGGGAGAAGTCCCGTTCCCCATCCCCAAGCCAACTGCCCAGCCATGCCTGGCCTGCTCTGCAGGAGAGAGCAGGGGCCTACCTCCGTGGTCTCATCATTGGGATACGTGTCCAGGAAGACGGCTAAACCATGGAAGTTGTCTTTGCTTCCAAACACAGGCCCTGAAATTAGAAGACATTCTCGTAACGGGAGAAATTGGAGTTGTCCCCGGGGTGCCTGAAGGACAAAGTAATGCCTGGGTGGGCGGAGCAAGAGAGGACGTGTGGCCACATATTTTACAGCTAAGAATGATTTTTACCATTCTACCATTTCAAAGGGTTATTTTAAAAAAAAAACAAAAACAAGGACTATGTGAGACTTTATTTGGCCCTCGAAGCCTAAAATGTTTCCTCTGGCCCTTAACAGAAAGCTGTTGACCCCTTGGTTAGAGCATGAGACTTCCTCTGGAGCGGTCCTTCCTGCGTCACCACCTGTTTTTCAGAGGCTGGATACCCCTCGTCACCTGACTCCTCAGAGTACATGGCCAGATGCTGTCCCCTCACAGTTCTGGCTTCAAACTTGAGTCCTCTCTGCTGCACTCCTGAGACCCCCCAGAGATTCCTCCTCTTTCCCAGGTTCTTAGCTGGTGTACAATGCCAGGCCACAACGCGGTACTGAGTTAAGCTGCGGGATCCAGCAGCTCCTCTTCCCGAAGGAACACTCCCCCAGAGCCGCCCTGAAGTCCAGGTTTCCTCAAAGAGGAGCAGCAGCACCCTAACAGGAGGGTGCAGAGTGGAGGATCCGTGGCCACAGACATCCCACCAGCGAGCCCCACCCTACCTGGCACCAGGCGGTCCCGGGTGTACCACAAGGCAATGCCGTCTCCATGGAGATTCTTCTTCCCTGCGCCATGGACTTTGAAGTGGACATGCATCTCCCAGTCCTTGAGGAAGCAAGGCTGGAGGGAGAGCAGAGGGGGCTGCTCAGAGTTTCCAGGGCCTTCCTGCCAGCTGGGGTGACCTGGCCCAGGCCCTGCCCCCAGTGACACTGGGCACTGCTCAGAACAGGGCCAGGCAGCACGGTCACAAAAGCCACTAACCAACAGACCCCTCAGTATTCTCCACAGGAAGGGAGGGGGAGGCCACAGGGTCCCAAGGCTGCCCGAGGCCCAGACTCCACCCACCCCGGCCCAGTCCTCTCCTGGGTGCTTCTCACACTTTGATCCATTCTCCTCAACCCCAGCCAAACCTGTTAGTCCTGTTTTCTCTCCGTCCCCACAGCTTCTGCCCTGGGATCTTGTAGGACTACTACCCCTATTTGAGCCACGTATT